CACTGGTTACCGGTTGGTTGCTCTGTCTCCTGCTGGAAGCTCCATGAAGCTGCTTTCTCATACCCCCTGTTTGCTGATCTCTGATAGAAGTCCAAGATGGCGGATCCGTGCTGTGGTAGCTGATAGGGGACCTCTGCATGTATCTCTCCTTGCTCTCTGTTCTCGGTCAGTTTCTTATTCCATTTGGTGATTGACTGAGTTCTTTATCTCTTCATTTGATGCTTAGGGTTTCAGGATTGACGTGAACTCTGTTTGACTTAGTTTTTCTGATCTTTGCTGCAGAGGGATGGCATGGTGCTTCTGACTATAGTGCCAGGTTGCCCAGAAGTCTCGCCCTGTGAATTTTGAGGTTAATCAATCTGGGTAGTAGGAATAGGCACTCTTCCCAGCCCTGTGTGAACCCTGGACACCATTACTCTTACTCTTTTTGATGGTTCTTTTCCTTGCCTTGGGTAGTTTCCTCACATGTATGCACTGACCAGTACTCAGCTGAATGCTTGAGGGGATCCCTCTGCAGATATTGAGAATTCCATCTTGGTGCAGCTGTCTCCTCTCTGGTGCTCTATCCTGGGAACTCCCCTGTCCCTTTAGCCAGCAGACGGAGGTACATGGTGGAGAAAATGCCAGCATTTCTCGCTTTGGTAGATTTGTCTCAGCCAATGATTGTGAAAACAGAGGCAGAAAAGATTTCTAAAGGGAAATTTGATTTCAGCCTGCTAGAATTCCGTAACCGACATTAAGATAAATCACTTCCTTGAAAATAATTACAGACTGTGGACTGTGTTAATGCTCCTGGAGATCCATTATTCAAGGAGCTCTTTGCTATTAGCACAAGTTATATGTTGTTTAGGCAGTGTTATGGACTGAATTGTGTCCTTTCAAAATATGTGTTGGAATCCTAATCCCTATACCCATGGATTAATCCTATTTGGGAATAGGGTTTTCTTGTGTTAATGAGGCCATTATCAGTGTTGGGTGTGCCCTCAACCTAATCACTTCTGATTGATATAAAGAACAGCATAGACACAGAGACAAAACCCCTTGCCATCCAGTCAATTCTGACTCAGAGACAAGGAAGTACAAACAGGAGAAAGGTAGATGTCACATGGAGATCACCAACAAAACAAGGAATGCTGGGGCTAGAGAAGCTGAGACAAGGATTTTTCCCCTAGAGTGGACAGAGAGAGAGCCTTCCCCTAGAACCAGTGCCCTGAATTCAGATTTCTAACCTCCTAAACTGTGAGAAAATAAATTTCTGCTCATTAAAGCCACCCACTTGTGGTATTTCTGTTTCAGCAGCACTAAGAAACTAAGACAGGCAGTAACTGATGTTTGATGATAAGCAAACCTTGGTAAGCATAGACTGAATCTTCACAGTGGAAAAGACACGGGACTGAGTAGATCTTAGGTAATTCGGTAACTCTTGATCCTTGCTGTGGTTCCAGACATCCAGAAAGTTGTAGCCATCCAAGATTCTGACAGACAGCATAGAGTGGTAATGGGAGGAGGTGAATGTGGACCATGAGGAGAATAGTGCCAGGTAATGGACAACCTGTTTCCCACTCACAGGTGCCTTCTTCATCCCCTACCTCATCTTCCTGTTTACCTGCGGCATTCCTGTCTTCCTCTTGGAGACAGCACTGGGTCAGTACACTAGCCAGGGAGGTGTCACAGCCTGGAGGAAGATCTGCCCCATCTTTGAGGGTGAGTAACTCTGTACCTGATTCCAGGGTATGAACACTGGCAGCTATAAACCTTATTTGGAATGACCGGTTTACTAGTAGCAGTGCTGAGATTGAGGCAAGATTCTGTGTCTCTATGTTGAACCCTCCTCTTGTGGGTCACATACTTAGCTAATAAACTGGTCATGAGGAGATGGGTAGATGGGTGGAGGCAGAGACATGGGGAAAGACTTTAAGTTAAATAAGTAGTGTGCAAAGATATTTTAGCTATATATATATAATATATATGTATGTGTGTGTGTATATACATATATATATATATATATATAAATATATATGGAGCCCTGGTGGTGCAGTAGTTTAAGCATTCGGCTGCTAACCAGGAGGTCAGCAGTTTGAAGCCACCAGCTGCTCCTTGGAAACCCTATGGGGCAGTTCTACTCTGTCCTATAGGGTCACTATGAGTTGGAATCGACTCGATGGCAATGGGTTTATATATATACATATATATATATTTTTTTGTATATATATATTTGGATATATAACAATGAATATGTGTTATTAAAAGCATATTTAATCAATTACAAAACATTTTAAAAGAAAATTTTAAATGAAAAATACTTCATTAATAGTGCTACCATTTTAACTATTTAAAATTTAGGGTGTTTTATTTCAATGTTTCTCTCTTTATATACAGGGCTTTCTTTAAGTTTTTGTTTTGAGATAATTACAGATTCATAGGAAGTTGTAAAAATAGTGCAGAGGAGTCCTGTGCACCCTTCACCCAGTCTTCCCCAATGATAACATGTTACATAATTATAAGGCAATATCAAAACTTGGAAATTGGCGTTGGTACGATCTACAGACTTTATTCAGATTTCATCAGCTTTCCATGCATTCATTTTTGTGTGTGTCTAATTCTGTGTAATTTATCACATGTGTAGATTTGTGCAACCACCACCACCATAGACAAGATACAGAACTGTCCCATCACAGCAAAGACCTTCCTCCTGCTGCACCATTATAGTCACACTCACCCACTTCCCCTTCTGCCATCCCTAACCCCAGGCAACCACTTACCCGTTCTCTATCACTATAATTTTGTCATTTTGAGAATGTTATATAAATGGAATCAAATCATACAGTACATAACCTTTTGAGATTGGCTTTTTTCACTAAAATGCCCTGGAGATCCATTCTTTTTATTGTTGAGTAGCATTCCATGGTATGAATGTACCACAGTTTGTTTAACCATTCACCCACTGAAGACGTTTGAGTTGTTTCCAGTTTTTGTTGTTTAATTTCAATATTTCCTTCTCTACATACAGGGATTATATATCTATTAATATAGAATATGCACAGTTTCTGTTCTCTGTTTTTCAGTTAGTGTTATTTTCCATTTTCTACAAAATAATCAAGGATCCCTGGGTGGCATAAACAGTTAAGCACTCGACTATTAGCCAAAAGGTTGGCAGTTCGAACTCACCCAGATGTGCCTCAGAAGACAGGCCTGGCGATCTGCTTCCAAAAGGTCACAGCCTTGAAATCCCTATGGAGCAGTTTTACTCTGCACACCTGGAGTCCTCATGAGCCAGAACTGACTCAACAGCAACAACAATAATCATCTAATGACGACATAAAATTCTATCCAGTGGATATATTATAATCTACTTAGCAGTGCTTTGTTATTGGACTTTTTTTTGCTTATATTCAATTACTGTTTGTAAATTACAAATTCTAACTTCTGCCGTCACGTGTATTTATTCAGATAGCTTTTCCCCTCCTTTTTCAGGAATTATTTGTTTGGGATAAATTCACAGGATTAGGATAACAGGATCAAATGGGTAATCAAGTTGATGTCTCTTGATCTAGTTTATTAAATTGTCCGATGGAAATGTTATATTGACTTACCATGTCACTAGACATGAGTAGATGTCTTTTCCCTCTATCTTTAACCACTGTGGGTTCTATTGGTGGTTCCCAAACTTGTTCACATGTTGGAATCGCCTGGAGATTTTCAAAACATACTGATGCCTATGCTCTACTCCCAGAGATTATGATTTAATTGATCTGGGGTCTGGCCTAGATATTGAAATTTTTAAAGTATCCCCAGGTAGTTCTAATATGCAGACAAGTTTGTAAACCACTGACTTATATCATTTGCCAACATTTCACTAGGGCTGTAGATCAGAATGGTATCTCATTTTGCACACCTGCAATTGCTAGGGAGGATGAATATTTTTTAAGGACATTTCTTCACTACTTGTATTTTCTCTTTGTGAATTCTCTGTTTTGGTCTTAACTTGTGTTTATGTATTTGAGAAACGTATCAGACTAATTCCAGGACGCATCTTGGAGTTAGTTGTACACATTTCTAAAATAACTTTGAATCAGTGAACTTTCAGCACCTAATGAAGATGAAAATGCAGCAGAAGACAGAGGGAGAAGAGTCCCTGGGAAGGGTTGCTGGGGCTCGGGTGGCACACTCCTGGGTGCTGGGGTGAGAGGGGAGAGAGCCAGGAGACTGGGCCCAGCACTTCCTGTCTGAGGACATTGACAGCCCAAACCCTCTCCTAAACAAGGACAGGCAGTGTGTGAGAAATCTGCCCACTGTTCCTAGCCCAATTCTGCAGTTTTCTCCCACAGGCATCGGCTATGCCTCCCAGGTGATTGTCATCCTCCTCAACTTCTACTACATCATTGTCCTGGCCTGGGCCCTCTTCTACCTCTTTAGCAGTTTCACCATTGACCTTCCCTGGGGAAGCTGCCACCACGAGTGGAATACAGGTAAGGCCATCTCTGGAGAGTTCACTTCCTCCTCTGCTCTGCCACATTAACCAGGAGTGGGATTTGCTTGTATCCCAGGCAAGCCAATCCCCAGTCTTAACTCAGGACACTCTAGAAAACTGTCGGGTAAATCATGGAGAGATGATTTTCATAAACTTATATCAAGGGTAAGAGCCAGAATTTACCAGCATCACAGGTAAAGTGTCAGTCTTTGTAAAAGACATGTTCAACTCACGTATTATGCCAATAGAACTGACTTCTTTTTATGTAGGTTAGCCATTTACCTATTTAAATTTGCAATTTGGTTTGTTTGATATATGTGTATATTGTTTGCTTATTTGTTTTTCATGTCTTCTTACTATTAAAAAAAAAAAAACCTGTTGCCGTCAAGTCGGTTCTGGCTAATAGAGACCCTATGAGTCTTATTATTTTAGGTCCTTTCAAATCACGATTCATCTGGACTTAACCAGGGAATAAGCTGCTTTGTATGTCAGCAATATAATTCATAATAGCTATTAATTTTCTCCTTTGCTTGTGTCTCAGTTTCTTAGTGCTGCTGTAACAGAAATAATATAAGTGGGTGGCTTTAAAGAACAGAAGTTTTTTTTCTCACAGCTTGGGAGGCTAGAAGCCCAAATTCAGGGCACTGGCCCTAGGAGAAGGCTCTCTGTCGGCTCTCGGAAAAGATCCTTGCCTCTTTCAGCTTCTGTAGCCCAGTGTTTCTCGGTTCCTTATGATCCTCATGTGGCATTTATCTCTCCCATTTGTGCTTGCTTCTGTGTCTAATCAGCTCTTTTTATTAACTCAGAAGTGATTAGGTTTAGGACACAGCCTACATTGATATGGCTCCATTAACATAACGAAGAAAACCCTATTCCCAAATGGAATCACATCCACAGGCATAGAGGTTAGGATTCCAACACATATTTTGGGAGAACACAATTCAATCCATAACAGCTTGTAAGATTACACTGGACTCTCTTAAGAGCCACTTATGGCAGTAGAACCACTGGGTCTAATGTACTGGAAGTAACAATAAAATAAAAATTTGTAGGGCAGTGCTATCCAAGAGACCTTTCCATGGCGATGGAAATGTTTTCTGTGCTATACCATACGGTAGCCACTAGCCACACATAGCTATCGAGCACGCACAGTGTGGCTAGTGCATCTGAGGAACAGAAATTTTTAATTTTATTTAATTTCAATTAATTTCAATTTAAATAGCCACATGTGGCTAGTGGCTACCCTACAGGAGAGTGCACAGGGAGAGCATATTGGACATGTTTGTTTGGATTCTCAGTACTACATCTTGTTCCTGTTGTCCAAATATCTCCCAGTACCTGTCAATGAGGCCCACCCTTTTGAACTTGGGTGTAAACCCACTGCCGTTAATTCTGACTCATAGTGACCCTGTAGGACAGAGTAGACTGCCCTATAGGGATTCCAAAGCTGTGATCTTTACCAAAGTAGACTGCCACATCTTTCTCCCTTGGAGCGGCTGATGCATTCAGCCAAGCGCTTAACCACTGTGCCACCAGAGCTCCTGAACTTGGATGTAGCCTTGATTAATTCTTTCTTGCTCAGATAAGTTACTCAGTTCTGAAGCGGAGTTCGACTTCTTTACTTCCCAGCAAAAAACAGTGAATGCAGTGTTTAGCGTGGTATTCCAGGCCCTTTGTGACCTGGTTCCTGCTTATTCTTTACATTGCATCTTTTACCACTCTCGCCCCTTACTTTCTGCTCCCTTTCCAGACATTCCCTTGCCAATCTCTGCCACCACTTCTGTTCTGCCACCATTTTTCAAGTGAAAAGTCAAATCCTGTAAACCTTCATCTAAAGTACAATAAAAAAAAAAAATTTTTTTAATTAAAAAAAAAAAATCTTGGGACCCTCCCCTGATACCCTAAGCTTGCATTAGGTTCTCCTCAACTGTCTCGGGTAGAACCTGCACTGACCCCTGGCGCTGTTGTGGCACTGACCTTTCGTTTTGTCTGTTTATTGGTCTGGTTTGCCCACTAGTCAGTAAGTTCCTGAGGCCGAAAAGGTATCTTTATCTCTATAGCCTTTGTGTCTAGCACAGTGTCGGCTACCTCATGAGCAATATTTGTTGAGCGAAATAAGTTTTAAAAATCTGTTTTATTCTATTATTTTCTTTATTATATATAATATAATATATACATACACGTGTGTGTGCTGAAATCACCCTTGACAACCAGCGTGTCAGATGGTGAAAATTTTATCTAGATCTCAGTGGAATTTCTCTTCTAAAAACTTTTGCTTAGGGCCTAGGGCTTTTCTTCAGGGCATTCTTAGGCCTACGTGCCTAAGAATGGGTATCTCTGAGACAATTTTGTGGCAAGTTCCACACCTGAGTATTTTTGTTGTTGGCTTTTTTGACATCTCTCCTACCGAGTCTGCCTTTCCTCAGAGCCTAACATCTTGATGAGTACATACCATCCTGTCATGGTGAGATAATGCTTTTCTGGGTGTGCTGAAGCAACTCTTGACTGGTATTCAGTCACTCAACAGATATTTATTGAGCTCCTACTACATGCCAGCCTCTGTTCTAAGCACTGAGGATATGGTTCTTGTTCTTAGTTGCTGTCAAGTTGATTCTGACTCATGGTGACCCCATGTGTGCAGAGTAGAACAGCTCCATAGGGTTTTCAAGGCTGTGACCTTTTGGAAGCAGATCTCCAGGTCTGTCTTTCAAGTTTCTTCTGGGTGGGTTTGAACCACCAGACTTTTAGCTAGTAGTTGAGTACTTAACCATTTGTACCACCCAGGGACTTCTGAGGATATGGTAATATATAGGAACAAAGGTCCTTGCCCTCATGGAGCTTACAGACCATAAACCAAATGCATGAGTAAAATGGATAATGTTAGACGGTGATAAATGCTATGGAGAAAATAAAAAAAGGAGGGAGAAGGGTGTGTATTGGGAGTCTTAGGGGGTGGGGATTGTAATTTTAAATAGGACCTTACTGATAAGATGACCTTTGAGCAATGATCCGAAGGAGGTGAGGGAATGAGGCATTAAGATATCAGGGGGAAGAACACTCTAGGTAGAGAGAACATCAGGTGCAAAGGCCCTTGGTGGGACAAAGAATGTTCACATTTCTTTTTACATTTTATGTAAAATAAAGGTGAGGACTTTATTTTAGGTTCATGGGCAGGTGTTTTAGGCAGAGGTGGAATTGTGCCTAAAGTGTTTAAGGAATTGCAAGGGGGGCAGTGGGAAGCGGGATGAATGGGGAACAGCAGTAGGAGATGAAGTTGGAGGCCATGGGGGTAGACTGTACAGAGCGTTGGAAGCGATTGTAGGGGCTTTGGCTTTTTCCTCTGAGTGGGATGGGAAACCTATGCGAGGGTTTCAGGTTGGGCATGACTTAAATTTTAACAAAATCGCCCTGGCTGTTGTATCAGAATAGACTAGGGAGGGAAGGGTAGAAAATGGAGGCCAGCTGAGAGCCATGAGATGAAGGTGACCTGCACCAGGGGAATTGCTGTTGTTAGGTGCCATGGAGTCAATTCTGACTCAGAGCGACCCTATGTGACAGAGTAGAACTGCCCCAAAGAGTTTGCTAGGTGGTAATTTTTCTCCAGGTCTTTATCTCATGAGATAATGAGAAAGGTAGTATTCCAGAAGGGTATTTTGAAGGTAGAATCTACACGATTTTCTGACCTGGATTCTAGACCTCACTTTCATTTATAAGCTATAACAGGCCATTTGTAAAAAGATTCATTTTCTTCATGTGTACAATGGGGAAAACACCACCTGTCTTAATACTCCCAGGATTATTGTACAAATAAAATGTAAAAAAAGAATGAGTGCCTTTTGTCAAACTCCAAAGTGATATACAAATAATTATGAGCCAACATTTATTGAACACTTTAACATTCTGGTTTTTTTTTTTTGGACTTGCAGATAGGTTTTTTTTTTCACACTTTTAAATTCAGGTTACTAACTCAATAAAATATGGAAAGCATTTCACTGTGTTTGACCTCAGCAACCTTTTTGTCATAATAATTTTTTTTTTTGTGGTAAAAATATATATAACAAAACATTCACCAACTCAACAGTTTTTACATGTATAACTCAGTGACATTGATTGCATTCATCATTTCTTGCAACCACTACCACTATCTTTTTCCAAATTACTCCACCATCATTAATAGAAACTCAGTGCCTCTTAAGCAATAACTCCCCTACATTTATTTTTTTCATTTAATCCTCCTATCAGTCCTAGGGGGCCCTAGTGGTGCAGTGGTTAAGCATTTGGCTGCTAACAAAAGGTCAGCAGTTCAAATCCACTAGACGCTCCTTAGAAACCCTATGGAGCAGTTCTACTCTGTCCTATAGGATCGCTATGAGTTGGAATTGACTCGATGGCAACAGATTTGGTTATTTGGTTTTATCAGTCCTACAGAGGGATATTATTATCTATATTTTAGAGATGAAGGAAGTGAAGCTTAGAGACCTAAGATGTAACTTACTCAAGGCCATACAGTTAGTAAATGAGGAGTCAGGATTCAAACCAGAGCTTTCTGACATTGTACCTGTGCTCTAATCATGCTGCTATATCACTTCCCTAGAAAGCATTCTTATTATTCCTAAAGAGTTGTGACTTTATACAGAACAGTTACCTAGAAATATTTATATACTTTGAAGCAGATGACATGTACAGCCTCTTTCCTAATGCCATCTGATCAAGCTTAAGTAAGAATATGTACCCAAGCATTTATAAAACCAGTTGTCATCAAGTTGACCTGGCCTCCTGGCAACCCCATGTGTGTCAGAGTAGATCTGTGCTCCATAGGGTTTTCAATGGCTGACTTTTGTTTGCCTTTTTGTGAGTGTGTTTGTGTTTTAAAGGAAGGTTTACAGAGCAGATTAGTTTCTCATTAAACAATTAATACACATACAACTAGTTGGTGCCCAGCTACCACCACTGACTGCTCTGACGGGGATCACAACAGAGGGTCCCGGACAGAGCTGGAGAAAAATGTAGAACAAAATTCTAACTCACAAAAAAAGACCAGACTTACTGGTCTGACACAGACTGGAGGAACCTCGAGAGTATGGCCCCCGGCCACCCTCTTAGCTCAGTAATGAAGTTACTCCCGAGGTTCACCCTTCAGCCAAATATCAGACAGGCCCATAAAACAAAACTAGACTGATGGGGCACTACATCCCAAGGACAAGGACTAGAAGGCAGGAGGGGACAGAAAAGCTAGTAATAGGCAACCCAAGGTGGAGAAGGGAGAGTGTTGACATGTCATGGTGTTGTTAACCATCGTCAGAAAACAGCAAGTGTACTATTTAATGAGAAACAACTTGTTCTGTAAACCTTCATCTACAGTAAAATAGAAAAATTTAAAAAAACCCAATTAATACACATATTGTTTTGTGACATTTGTTGCCAACAATAGCTGATTTTTTGGAAGTAAATCACTAGAGCTTTCTTATGAGGCACCTCTGGGTAGACTGGAACAAACCTACAACCTTTCAGTTATCTGCTGAGCCCATTAACCATTTGCACCACCTAGGGACTCGAAAGCATTTATAAATCTGTATGTAAAAGTATGTGGGAGAAGGTAAGGTGGGATTGTTGAGGTCATTATATAGTGAGGATGTTTTGTACAGACAACTTCAGCTCGTTTCCTTCCAGGTATCTTACTTCCCTTTCTCCTATATTTTCACCCCACTCACTCTAGTCATGCCAAATGTTGGCTAATGATCTTTCTCTTCATTCCATGCCTGGCACCCACGGGTAGAACACTGTGTGGAGTTCCAGAGGACCAATGGCTCCCTGAATGTGACCTCTGAAAATGCCACCTCCCCTGTCATCGAGTTCTGGGAGTAAGTAAGGCCCTTTCCCCATCCCAGTGTGGGCCCTGTGTTTGAAAGAAGCATGCAGGGATGGGTTCATACAGTGGTGACTCTCGGTGGACAGCAAGGGGAGAATTTTCATTTCCTTCTTTGGTGGCCCTGTCACCTAAGAGGATTTTTTTTCTGGTGTGCTTGTATTTGTGGTCCATGAAGGACTGGTTTCAGAGGTGAGAATTTTGCTTCTCTCTTCAGGCTGTGCCTGCCCTTTCTCACCCATACCCATGCATGTGGATCCATGCTCCCAACTGCCCTCCTGTCTTCAGCTGTATATGTATTGCCACTTACTCCCAAAATATTGATACTCACCCAGGGCAGGATTTCTGATATCAAAACATCTAACACCCTGGTTGAGAACATATGTTTTCGCACCTCTTCCCCAGGTTATATTAGTACCCTATCTTCCAGAGCAAACTTGCCTGTGTAAAGTTTTTATTTGCTGCTTTTTACATCTGCCTCCATATCTGGGCAAAGGAGAGCCTCATGGATCTGGATGAAAAGAGCTGACAAGAGCCTGGGGTGCGCTCCTCTGCTGGAGGCATGACTCCACTGCCTGAGACATGCGGGCTGCAAAGCTGAGGCTGGCAGCAAAAGTCAAGCCAGGGTCAACCCTTCTCTCTCCAGGAGGCGAGTTCTGAAGATCTCTGATGGCATCCAGCACCTGGGGGCCCTGCGCTGGGAGCTGGCCTTGTGCCTCCTGCTCGCCTGGGTCATCTGCTACTTCTGCATCTGGAAGGGAGTCAAATCCACAGGCAAGGTCTGTGTTGGGGAGTTCCTGCCACCTCCCATGCCTGGACTCCCTGCCCTCACTAGGCACTCGGTCACCTAGGAGTTCCTCAAGTTGTGGCTTAGTTGGGATGGGAGGGAATGACCTAGCAAAGATTGTATGTGGCTCCCTTCCTTGATTCTGTGCCTCTCTTGGATTCAATCAACGTACTTCTGGTATTTGGGTAACTGAAATGGAGGAAAGACAGAAAGGCAGGAAGGATACCTCCAGAGGAGTTTAATTTTGGAATTTGCCACATATGTGAGCACATTGCAGATTGAGCACAGTCATGGCTCCCTATTTCGTACAACTGAGTATGTTCTTTGAAAAGGGAGCTTTGAAGACTGTTAATCTCAAAATGAGAGTTGCAGAGGGCTCTTCACTCCAAAGTGCATGAGGTGTTAGAGGGCATTCTGAGTTCTCCTGGACTCTTGCCTTGGAGGCCTCTGACAAGGCTTCCTTCCTAATCTGGCTGCCTGATTGTACTAAACTCGTAAGCTCTGTGAGGACAGGGATCATGTGTTATAGATCTTTTCATACCTGACAACCCTTGTCATAACTCCAAGCATTCTTGTTGGGAGGATTGCTTAAGTTCATTTGGTCACTCAACAAATATTTACTGAATATAGGTCAGGGGCAGGGGGAGTGCAATAAGCTGGAGGAGGAAAGGGGGGAGGGAGGGAAAGGGTGAGTTGTGGCTGCAAGGCATAAGGGAGATGGAACTGAGCAGCTAGGGGCAGGGGGAGAGTTCCCTTGGCCTTTTCTGTAGGGTAGGAGCTCCTGCTTTCTCTGTTCCCCAAGATCTCGAGCCCTTCTTTCCTAACTCAGAAGTTCCTTGTCTCTCCTCTGCCCCTTGGTCAGGTGGTGTACTTCACAGCAACATTCCCTTACCTCATGCTGGTGGTGCTGTTAATTCGAGGGGTGACTCTGCCTGGGGCAGCCCAAGGAATTCGGTTTTACCTATACCCAAACCTCACACGGCTGTGGGATCCCCAGGTAAGAAGCCACAGACAAGGGGTATCACGTGGCTCCAGCAGGTGCTTGAGCTACAGGCCTACCAGTCCTCCATCCTGCTCCAGGTCCAACCCTAGGGCATCTACAGGGGTGGAGGGGCACCCTTCTTTCTCCAGACATCTGTGAGCAGCTGCTTTTGGTCATAAGGTGTCTGAGACCGTCCCCTCCTTGGTTCACAGTTGCCAGGGAACCCAGGGGACCTGAGGTCCTGGTATTATTTCTTAAATAATACTACAAATATGTCACTAACAGCCTTTACTCAGCAGCTGTGCCCCTTTCCCCACCAGGTATCCATTCCCTCTTTGCATTTTTTCTCTTGGTCGTCTCATTTCCTACAGAATTTCCTTTCCATTTCTTACCCCTTAACCTGCCATCCTCTGGTTCTGTCCCTCTGTCCATGTGACCCATTCCTAGGCCCCAGTTCCCACCCCTCCCCACACCAGCTGGGCTGGTGTTAAGTTTCCTGTCAGTTGTCAAGAGGCTCCCAGTCTCTTTCCCTCCCCTCCCAGCCCCTCCTTTAAGGCCCACACTCCCTCTGCTACAGCCAGCTTCTTTACTGCCAGAGCCAGGAGGGGGCGGCGCTGCTTGCTGACTGAAGGGGTTTGTAAAGCAAGGCCTGAAGTAAGAAGCCAGTGCCTCTGACGGGTTTCTGATTTTCTCCTCTTTGGCAGCCATTTTGAAAGCTGGCAAAGCCAGGAGGTGTTGAGGGCCGGAGGGGAGTGTGGGTAAGCGCCACCCCAGAGCCCCTAAAATTTTGTTACCCAGTTATGTCCCTGCCTCTGCTTCCTTGGCACAGAGGTCGCCCTCCGTGGGGCGTATGCGTACAGCTTAGGGACCCTCCTCTGAGTGGTTGTTGGAGGAGGCTTTCTGTGTCTATGAAAGGGACCCTAAGAAGACTTAAGGGCAGAAGGGTCCCAACATGCAGAGGACCAACAATTGTGCGGATTTTCAAACGTCTGAAAATAATAAGGCAGCAGCACAGTCACTCAAATTGTTGAGAGGGAGCCAGAGAAATGGGAGTGACACACAGTTCCACAGTTCTAAGACCCTGGAACTCAGCTCACACAGAGGCAATTGCTCCCCCTTGTGCAGAATTTGGGGTGATCCAGAAGTTGAATTGTTCCAAAGTCCCGTAGCCACCCCTGGCAGAGTTAAAAGTTCTTCTATCTTGAGCTCTGCGGGGGCTGCCGTGGCTCCCAGAAGCAGCCAGACCAGACCTATTCAGAAACCTCCCTGTAGCCTCAGCTAGCCTCAGGTCCTGGGAATCTCTTCTGGTGAGATATAAATTTACTCTTCCCCCTCCCATTTCTTAGACTTCATAAAAATACAGATTGCTGCTGTGTCTTTTCCACGTGGGACCCAAGGGCTGCACTCAGGTTTGAAGCCCAAACTGTAGAGCCATAGCTGTTGAAACTGGAAGGGGCTCAGAGATCGTCCAATGCAACCTCCTCATTGCACAGAGGAGCAAACTGAGACCCACAGTCACACAGCAAGTAAATGGCAGGCCAAGCTAGGTGTCTTTTTATTTTCGTGAATAATAAGCTCTTTGACTTATCTGGAACCAAAGGGTTGTGCTGGAGGGTAGGTAGCAAGGGAAGTTGTGGGGGCCGCACAGTTGAGGGAAGACTTTGATAGCCAGAGTGAAGAGTTTGCTTGGATCCCCTATGCAAGGGGGAGCGGTTGTTCTGGAGCAGCAGAGGTGTGAAACGGTGGCTAATCAATAAAGCTCCCCTTTGTTTGGAGGTAGGACTGAAAGGGAGGGGACATGTTCAGAAGGGAGACAGGCAGGAAGAGGTAAAAGAGAGAGGGGTCCTGTATTCCCAGAACAGATTTATGGCTTCTGTAATCAATGCCTTGTTTGTCTTGATAAGCTCTTTACAGCTAACAACTATTGCGTGCTTACTACATGCCCTGCGTTGTTAAGAGGTTTACATGCATTATTACAGCTAATTCTCACAGCAGATCCCCATTTTACAGATAAGGAAATTAAGGCCTAGAGAACTTAAAGAATTTTCCATCTTCACACCTGAATGATGATAAATCCCACATACTTTATGATCTCCTCTTGAAGGCAAGATTTGCTCATCTTTGTTTAGCTCACAGCTGAGTCATTCAGCAGAAATTTCTGGAGCATCTATTACGTGCCAGGCCTGTTGTAGGTACAGTGTTTTGTACATGATAGCTACCCAGTAAATATGAATGTGGACCAGATAGCCTTCTTCAACTCTGAGTGTTAATGAGCCCATAATTCTGTGTCTGGCTTGCAACTCTTGCCATAACTCCAAGCACACTTGTTGGGAGAATGCCTAAGTTCATCCAATCACTTGACAAATATTTACTGAATGTGGGTAAGAAAATCAAGACATCTTTTTATCTACACTCCAGGATACCATTCTCTGAGTCCCAGCCAGCTGTAAGCTTTGCAGGGAGCCTAATCTTCCAAGTGTTTTGAGGCCACGGGGAAGGACATGCTTCAAGAGCCAGACCTGGTCCTCAGCTTCAGAGTAGCCTTATTAGCTGCCTGGTCCTGGTCCCCTGCTAAAGCAAGGCCTTTGCTGTCGGTGAACAGAGCAGCACCTGCAGGGTGAATACTCCTGCCAGAGCCCTAATTGAATCTAGTTGGCACTCCACAGGAAGTGTGATAATTCCAGCTGGCATTTGCCTGGCACTTGAGAAAGGTGCAAAACTCCTGCTAGCCAACAACAAAGACCAAAGACATCTCTCTGTCAAGTGTGCAGGCTTGAAGCTGGGAGCCAGGCAGAGACAATGCTGCCTTATCTAGTCGCTCCTTCTCTTCTGCCAGGCTTGCTGTGTGTTGGGCAGGTTGCTGCTGCCTTCCCTGGGGTTCCCCAAGGCTCATCAGTTTCACAGTGAGAAATGGCCGCTGGAGACTCGGCTTGCCACCATGCAGTGTGCGCTTTTTTCAGGGCACTTGTTCCTTTCCTTTGCCCTGCCACTGCTGACTCCTTACTCTATTGCCTGTGGTAGATCGATAAGGGTAGGCGGGTTGGGGTAGGAGGGCGGGTGTCCAAAGAGCCCTTGTGGAATCTTTGTTAAGCAATTCTAATGAAGGGTTTGTTTAAAAAGAAATTGAATCATTGCTTAAAATATGTCTTTTCGTTTTGATATTTGTTGCTGTTGTTAGGTAGAGACCTGTTGATTCTTACTCATGGCCACCCAATGCAATAGAGTAGAACTGTCCCATGGGGTTTCCTAGCCCTGGTGGCGCAGTGGTTAAGAGCTACAGCTGCTAACCAAAAGGTCGGCAGTTCGAATCCACCAGCCACTCCTTCAAAACCCTATGGGGTAGTTCTACTCTGTCCTATAGGGTTGCTGTGAGTCAGAATCGACTCAATGGCAATGGGTTAATCTTTACAGAAGCGGATCACCAGGGCTTTTCTCCCATGGAGCCTCTGGGTGGGTTCGAACTGCCAACCTTTTGGTAGGAAGCCGAGAGCTTAACCATTGCACCCCCGGGGTTCCTCTGTTTTGGTATAGCGCATTGAAATCTATGTCACCTCATTACCATTGAAAAGTGAGTTATCTTTTCAAATAATAAACAACAATAACAATAGCTAACATTGATGATGTGCTTTTTATTTGCCAGGTACTTTACTAAGTGCCTTACAGAGTTTAATCCTCACATTAACCCTGTGAATTTTGTGTTATCCTTATTTTACAGATGAAAAAACTGAAGCTTAGAAAACTTAAGAAATGTGACCAAAGCCACAAAACTAGCATGTTGGGGAGCTTGGGTTTCATCCCAAGTAATCTTTTAGAGTCTGCTCTCTTAATCACTATGCTATGCCTTTTCCAAAGGGTATGAATTATTTGAGAGTTCTAAGGGCGGCTTTTTATTATTCCAGAACTGTTCCAGAAGATGGGATAGGAAATGAATGTTTTTTTTCACATTCATTGTTTTATTTATTAAACACATTTTCTAGATATGAAAAGTGAGATTCAGAGAGGTTAAGTGACTTTCCTAAGATCACACAGCTTGTAATTAGTGGAGTTAGGAATGGAACCCAGATCAGTTTGACTCCAAAGCCCATGCTTTTTCCATTTCACATCATTACCTTCTTAAAAATGGTAGATATTAATAATGCTGGGGGTTGGATGCAAGGTTGAAAACATCTTCTAGAGGTCTCTCTGTTCCTCTGTCCCCCAGAAGACTTCTCTTTTTATCCACACTTCACCAAGTGTTTTTTACTTGGCTTATTCTTGGTCAGTTTTCTGCCCCAGCCAAAGGTATATTGGAGTTTTGCTCTAGAAACTCAGCCTCCTGGAATGGGCAGGGAGTGGGTTGCCTGTGGTGGGGAACAGAACAGCTTGCTCTGTGGTCCCTTCAGCCCTCCCCCTGACCCTGTTACTTTTCCCCAGCCCAGCAGGCTTGACACGCAGCAGCTGTGCAGAGAGCTGGGGCTTGCCAAGCTCACAGAGAGGGGCCTTTGGTGAAAGGCACCACATCTGACCCTTGAACTCTGAACTCTCAGCCTCCTGCTGCATTTCCCTTTGTTCTCATTAACCTTTCCTCCCAACTCAGCCTTAGTCTGTCCCCACCTGGGGTGAGGTGAGCAGCCAAGTCACAATTTCTTTTATTACTTCCTTCCAAGCCCAAGTTCACAAAACTTCATAATCACTGGATTTATGCCCCCCAACCTGCATGTGGGCAGCAGCCACACAGTGTCTCTGAGGGCGCTCAGCTGTTTCCTTGATAACTCACGGGGCAGCCTGTGCCCTGTGCACTGTTAGGCATGGGAGGCAAACAACCAAGGCTCGAGGCCAAGCAGGCTCTTGGGCCATATCCTGGATGACCTGATCTCATGACAGGACGTACCTGTGAACCCCCAGCCCTCACATCTCTGACCCTGAGAAAATCCTCTCTGTATGAGCTCAGAGCCTCTTGCTGCAAAGTCCTGCTCTCAAAGCTGCAGATAGCCTACTGAGTGAGGTAGGAATGAAATAGAAGACAATGGCCTCCATACTGGAGGCCACTGAGTATTCCTGAGATGACTATCCTCACAGTGTCTGCAGGGCCATTTTAGAAAAGGATTTTAAACATCTTGAAGGAGCAAACAGACTCCCAATGCATCTCCTCATACGTGGCCTACTCTCCCGCTCTGTGGCAACACACTGGATTCTGTAAACACTCACCTTTCCCGTCCTCAGGTACTGTCCGTTCATCCCCACCCTTCCCTTTTCTAGCTTCTGAAATGAATCCCCAACCCCCTTTTCCTTTCTCCATTATAAATTTTCCTTAAGTTTAAAAAAGTTTCCCAAGTGCTTCCATCCTTCCCTACTACTTCCTTGCTAGCTTTGGCCCCTTCTGAATTCTCCTCCGTGCTTCCTGCCTCGGACCTCTTTTTCTGGTGGCAACTCCTGCCTTGTAGAGCAACTGGAGGATGGGATTCACGGTGAACAGAAGGGACAGGAGGCTCAAGACATTCTCCCCTTTCTGTCACCATCATTCCCTGCCCATCCCCATTCCCACAGGATGGAAATACAGCAAGAGCATTGAGTGCCCTGGGTATACCCCTGATGCCAGGTCCTAGGGGCTATGACTTCCACACCTGCATGGTCGTTAGGATTCCCCAGGGAGCTCTGAAAATAATGCAGATTCTTGGGTTCTCTCTCAGGCCTAGAGGGAGGCCCGGTGTGTCAACTGGGGATGCTGGCTGAAGAGTCAAGGTGATTCTGAGGTAGTCAGCCTGTCAATGGGCCCCCTGGGCTCCCTACGATGCTGAGGAAAATGGGCACTTTGTAGGGGTGAGTGTGATAAGAGAGAGCAAGGGGTAGGGAGGTTGAGGGTGGTGATGATGGTTAGTGAGGCAGGGAAAGATGGGTAAGGGGCCAAGGACCTTTGGACAGAAGGAAGCCAAGGCTTTGATGTGTGTGGGAATTGGAGGCCTGATACTAGTGGATGGGAAAGATTAAAGGCTAGAGGGTTTTGTGGGAAGTAGGAGCAGCCCGTTTGGGGGCTACTTGAACACAGGATGGGGTCTTTCAGTGCCCTTTCTTTAGGGACCAGAATGCAAGAACACTTGCCTTGGTGATGTCTGCATCCACAGCTTGGTGCTCCCACCCTCTAAAGCCTGAAGGGCCTGGGGGAGGGTCTGTAGCCACAGGACCCGACCTCCTGCAGATCTACAGGATTGCTTAATCCTGTTTGCCTGGATGTTCTCTCTCTCCAGGATGTTATTCTAGCTGTTAAATCTAAATCATAACATGCACAGCCTGGGTCAGCCAGCTGAGATAATAACAGTAACACCAATACCCTGTGTTCAGCTAGAGAGTTATTTTCCCCCCAAGGGGTACAAAGCCCTTCACAGATGCATTTCTGTTCATCCTCTTGGCTTTTTTTTTTTTTTTTTTTTTTTTGTGAGTGAGGATTACTTTCCCTGTTTCTCATACAGAAGGTTCTGCGGTGTGAGGGGCAAAGCTACATGCTGGTGATGGTGTTGGTATTAAGGACCCATATCCCTGGAGATGCTGCTCTGGGTTTCTTCCCAACTGATCCTGCCACCATGATAGGCTAGGATAGGAGAAAGGAACTTTGGGCAGAATACAGGGCTTTGCTTCCTTGATCACTAACCAGATCCAGATCCAAGATTGTTCTAGAGCACCTTACCACCCTCCTCCACCATGGGTCCCTTCAGTCTTTCCTTTCGAATGCACAATGTCTGTTCATCCTAGGAGTGCCCAAGACACTTCATCTGAGGGCCAGGGACTAGAGCCCCCCGGGGATGGCAGGGATACAGGGGGGCCTGCATTGGCTGAGAACAAGTTCCTCACCATCCCTAGCCAGTGCCTGGCTCAGCCCATGCCTGTGTTCCTCCATGGAGGCTCAGATGGCCTGGCCTTTCCCAGAGTTCAGTTTTCTTGCCTCTTGCCTTTGTAGGTGTGGATGGATGCAGGCACCCAGATCTTCTTCTCATTTGCCATCTGTCTGGGGTGCTTGACAGCCCTGGGCAGCTACAACAAATACAACAACAACTGCTACAGGTGATTGGGGACTGGGGTCTGAGCCACAAGCCTGCATCTCTCCACTGGCCCTCCACCAAGTGCTAGGCCAAGGGTGACTGAGAGTAGTGTAACAGCTCATGAAATTTGTCCCCCTGCCTTCACCCACTGTCCAATCCCCCAGCCCCACCAGGAGCTGTCCAGGGTGGGTAGAGGGACTACTTCTGAAAGGTTGGCAGAGTTGTGATTGGCCGAGAAACCTCAGCAGGGGCCTAGCCAGCCTGGTAATTTAAAGGTTAGCAGGCTTCCGGGCACTCAGTAAGCAAGTCTGAGAAATAAATTAGTAATGTTACACTGCTGAGTCTCAGTTGTGCCTGCTTTGTAAATCTGCTCCAGCAAACACTGAATCCTTACCCATTTTTACTTCACCTCCTGTATACATATATTGCTTCTACTCCACTCCTCCTCCCCTCCCCATTGTCCCCTCCTACCCTTCTGATTCCATTTTAATACTAGCTGAAATATAGCTGAAACAAATCATAGCATGCCTCTCAAAATCAAATTTAAGTGGCTAAGAATTATTTGTTGTTTGGGATTATCCATGCCCAAACCCCCCTACGTTAGCGTGCCAAACTGAATTATGTCAGAGAGGCAGTGTCCTCTCTGACATACAAAGGTGTGGTAGGAATATGGCAGGGATGGGAGGCTGGGTGGCAGTTTGTAATTTTTAAATCAATGTTTTACTTCCTTACAACCTCATTCTCTCAGGTCTACCTTGATTTATTCCAGTCTGAGCTAATGGGGGGCCAGAACTAACACTTTGAACGGATTCTGCCAGGTAGCCCCACCTCTGGCCTCTGTGCAGGCGTCTGCCATGAGGATCTGTGCTCCCCAGGGGTCCCCACTGGCTCCCAGACAGAAAGCCTGGCACACTGATTGGCAGCCCCTGTCTGACTACTGTTTCCACCCCCGCCCCCGTGCCCACAGGGACTGCATCGCCCTCTGCTTCCTCAACAGCGGCACCAGCTTTGTGGCCGGGTTTGCCATCTTCTCCATCCTGGGCTTCATGTCTCAGGAGCAGGGGGTGCCCATTTCCGAGGTGGCTGAGTCAGGTGAGCGCTCATAGGGAGGCCTGAGGGCAAAGAATTCTGTGAGCCCGGTGCCAGCCGGGATCCAGAGCCATTTCTATTGTCACCTACGCTGTGGGTGGGTCTTTTACTGTGGCTACCTTTCTTTTCAATGTAATTTAATTTTGTTGTTGTTGCTGAGAATAGACACAGCAAAACATATACTAATTCAGCAATTTCTACATGTACTGTTTAGTGACAATGATTACATTCTTCGGGTTATGCAGTGATTCTCACCCTCTTTTTCTGAGTTGTTCTTCCTCCATTAACATAAACTCACTGCTCCTAAGGTTCCTATCTAATCTTTCTCGAGTTGCTGTTGTCACTTTGATCCCACATGGATAGTTCTTAAAGAGCATAATGCTCAAGGCTAACTACTGTTTGGTTTTAAGAAGACTTCAGGGGATATTTTTGGTTTAAGTTTTAAAGATTATCTCAGGGCAATAGTTTCAGGGGTCACTGTGGCTACATTTCAATGGAGGCATGCTGGGAAGACTTGGGGTAGGATTTAAATGGATTCAAAGAATAAACAAGTATACAGTGAAGATTTCCTTCCAACCCCTGGAGACACTCAACACTGTCAGTTTCGTGTATATCCTTCCAGAAGTAACTTAAACATATATGAGACGTTCTTCTATACATACATAGGAGTCCCTTCATGGTACCAGCGGTTAATGAGCTTGGCTGCTAACTAAATGGTTGAAGGTTTGAGTCTACCGAGAGGAAGAAAGGTCTGGCGATCTACTTCCAAAAAGTCAGCCATTGAAAACCCTATGGAGTACAGTTCTACTCTGACACATATGAGGTTGCCATGAGTCGGGGTCAACTCAATGGCAACTGGTTTTTATATACATACAATATTTCTATTTCTTAACTCTCCCCTCTTTAACGAAATGATAAGACATTATATACACTGTGTTCTGCACCTCATCTTGTTTTGTTCACTTTAAAATGTATTTCAGAGGTAAGTTCCTATCAGCACATAAAGAGTTTCTCCCTTTTTAAAATGACTCTTTCCACCACGCTGTGGTTTTATTTGTTGTTGTTTTACAATAAAATCTAGGAAGGACTGGTCCCCTACCTTGATACACTGTGAAATGTTTCTCTTGCTTGTCCCCTGCTTTTGTGGACCACCCACTTTCTCTCTGTAACCACAAGACAATTTTTAATCACAGCATTCACAAGCTCACCCTTGTTACACAGAACGCCAAGCACCAGGCAACTGACATCAGTGGTTCTTATTAAAAATGATAATATCTAACTTTTATTACCAAAAAAAAACAAAAACCAAACCCATTGTCGTGAGTCTATTCCAACTCATAGTGACCCTATAGGACAGAGTAGAAATGCCCAATAGAGTTTCCAAGGAGCACCTGGTGGATTTGAACTGCCAACCCTTTGGTTAGCAGCCATAGCACTTAACCACCATGCCACCAGGCACTTACTATATGCCAGGCAGTGTGCAAAGCATTTTGCTTGTATTAAACAATGTAAACCTGTGAGGCAGGTACTACTATTACCCTCATCAATCAGTGAGGGGGCTGGTACTCGAGAGGTAAACGACCTGTCCAAGGTCCAAGGTCACACAGTGAAACTCTTTATTTTTCAAAGGAAGCTTCCTGTGGATGAACCCAGGCTTTGGTGTGATTTGTTCCTGGCATTTGAGTCAGTTGAGAGGAACGTTAATTTATTTGAGAGGATGTGTGTCAATGGTGCTCTGGAATTAATACCAGTTCACTCATTGTATGGTGACAAAAAAAGCTCCGGGTGCAGAGGGAGCAAAGTGGTGGCCCTGGGCCTAATCTGGCCTTGGAGGGATTTTCTTTGGTATCAACTACTTTATAAAAACAGCAAAGTAATTACCCTTAACAGGGGCATGATTGCTCCAGTTTTCATAAGGCCCCAGCATTTCCCCTTGTTTTGCACTGGGTCAGCTTTACAAATTTACATGACCTGCCTGGCTGCTGAGCTCTTTTTAAGTTTGAAAACTCCAGTTTGGGGCAATAGATCTGGAGAGTGAGACCTGAGGATTTGGGGATAGAACGTAGACAAAGGAGGATGGAAATACCCCCTTTCTATTTTCCAAAGCCCTTTCACATCCACAGTCTCTAGGTTCTGGGTCTGCCAGTGACAATACAGTGGGTGGTGCCTTGGAAGTTTGGGGACCAGACAGAGGTTTGGGCGGCTTTTCCCAGGTGAGGATGGTGGTGGCAATGGTAACCGTGGAATGAAGTTCCCTCTAACCCGTTGCCATTGAGTAGATTCCGACTAATAGCGACTCTACAGGACAGAGTAGAACTGCCCCATATAGTTTCCAAGGCTATAATTTTTATGGGAGCAGACTGCCACACCTTTCTCCCATTGAGCAGCTGGTGAGTTCGAACTGCCAACCTTTTGGTTAGCGACCAAGCACTTTACCACTGTGCCACCAGAGCCCCTTGAAGTTCTTTCTAGCACCTGTCATTCCATGGCCCCGCACTGGGGATCCTTGGGATTGCACATGGCCTGGCTCTGGCCCAGGCACTAGGCTGTGTTTCTCTGCTCCCTGCTGTAGGCCCTGGCCTGGCTTTCATCGCCTACCCCCGGGCTGTGGTGATGCTGCCCTTCTCTCCACTCTGGGCCTGCTGCTTCTTCTTCATGGTCGTTCTCCTGGGACTGGATAGCCAGGTACCAACAGGTGGCGCACTCAGAGACCGAGATGAGTGAGTCTGTGTATAGGACGGGTGACGGGCAGCAGTGGGCACCAGCTTGAGCTTGACATCCTGAAACACTTTTAAAAAGCTGTGGACCAGGCGAATGTCAAAAGCTGGTGTCTTTCTGAGAAGCAAGAGAAGCCTTGAAGAGTGGGTTCAGACCTAACCATGCAAGGATGGACAAGGAGGCCAGGAGGGCTGACCCCGGGAGAAAGAAGCCATAGCTAGCTGATGGAGCTTATTTTGGGAGCTCTCTTTCCCTCCAATTCTTTTGCCCTCTCATCCAGTTTGTGTGTGTAGAAAGCCTGGTGACAGCGCTGGTGGACATGTACCCCCGTGTGTTCCGCAAGAAGAACCAGAGGGAGGTCCTCATCCTTGCAGTGTCTGTCATCTCCTTCCTTGTCGGGCTAGTCATGCTCACAGAGGTGAGGTCTGGGAGGCTGTGAGGTGGGGACCCGGTGAGGAAGAGGAGCCAAGGTGGACAACTTCTACCTGTCAGGTGGAGCAGACTGCTATGGGTTCAGGGCACTGGGATGCTCTCTTTTCCCAACCCAAAAAGGCATAAAGTAGGCAAGTCCCTCCCCTGGCCTTTGGGCATCAGCCACCTACCTCTGGGGATGGGTGGAAGGTAAATTGGCTCCACGCTGAGCTAAGGGGTATGGAAAGGATGGTCAGGGAGGTCTTGGGTTGGGAAAAACTGACTCTCCACCAAGCTCCCATGATTTCCCAGGCAGCTGAATCAAGTTCCATGGACAAACTTCAAGGTAGAAAGGGACCCCTGGGGCTGGGTGACATTCTGTGTGATGTCTCCAGGGAAAAGCATGCAGATGGAGCTTGTCAACATGATGATATGACAGCCCTTATCCTGATCCCTTGCCAAAAAAATACACGCTGTGTCTTGGGCTTCTGGAGTCAACCCTTAAAAGTTCTCAGGGATAAGCTAGCAATAGCTGTCTGATTTCATCTCTTTTCCATTCAAAAACAATAACAAAAAATAATATTGTCTCTTACCTCTGTCTAGTGTTTTATAGCTTACAAATGACATTGTCTAATATTATCTGTCTCCTGTGACCCTCACCAACTTTGCTCTGTGCCCCAAAGGTGTGAGGCTGGAGGGGGTAGGCGTAAGTCTGATTCCTCTGGATAAAGTTCTTTTTAACAAATCTTCCTGGCAGGGTGGCATGTACGTGTTTCAGCTCTTTGACTACTATGCAGCCAGTGGCATGTGCCTTCTGTTCGTGGCCATCTTTGAGTCCCTCTGTGTGGCTTGGGTTTATGGTAAGTGATTCCTTCCCCAGCCCTAATCCATTCTCTCCCACACCCCAGCGCTCTTAGACAGAAGAGAAACATCCAGCGCTCACACCTGCCTTTTCCTGGGGCTCCCCCATCTACCCAACCTCAAAAATCTTGAGAACCCAAAATTGCTCCACTGGAAGGTCCCTACAGAGGTTGTCTTGCCCACCCTCCTAGTTTTTTTTTTTTTCCCAATAATTGATTTGATTTTGTTGGAGAATATACACAGCAAAACATACACCAATTCAACAGTTTCAATACGTATAATTCAGTGACATTGATTACATTCTTCGAGTTGGGCAACCATTCTCACCCTCTTTTTCTGAGTTGTTCCTCCCCCATTAACATAAACTCACTGCCCCCTAAGGTTCCTATCTAATCTTTTGAGTTGCTGTTGTCAATTTGATCCCATATAGATAGATCTGAAAAGAGCATAGTGCTCAAAGCAAACGCTCTTTACTAGTTAAACTAAACTATTGTTTGACTTTTCACTGGGCAATTTTTTTCAGAAGTAGACCGCCAGGTCCTTCTTCTTAGTCTGTTTTAGTCTGGAAGCTCCACTGAAACCTGTCCACATGGGTGACCCTGCTGGTATTTGAAATACCGGTGGCATAGCTTCCAGCCTCATAGCAACACACAAGCTACCAAAGTACGATAAACTGACAGAACAAGGGGACGCTGCATGGTTTAAAGTCAGGAAAGGTGCACATCAGGGTTGTATCCTTTCACCATACTTATTCAGTCTGTATGCTGAGCAAATAATCTGAGAAGCTGGACTATATGAAGAAGAAGACAGCATCAGGATTGGAGGAAGACTCATTAAAAATATGCAATATGCATATGACATAAATTTGCTTGCTAAAGTGAAGAGGACTTGAAGCACTTACCGATGAAGATCAAAGACTACAGCCTTCAGTATGGATTACATCTTAACATAAAAAAAAAAAAAATCCTCACAAATGGACCAATAAGCAACATCGTGATAAATGGAGAAAAGATTG